CTGCATGTCTCACGATCTTTGCAAGAACCATGTAACTTGTCATAGTACAAAGGCACACTAACATACACATACAGGAAAGGACAACTTTATGGAATTTCCTCCACATATGCTCACCCACCCAGGTTTGTCAACCTTAGCTGCATTCCTTGGTACCCATAGCCAGGATCATATACTCACTCTTCTCCAACTCGTCTTTGGTCCTGTTGTGTCCCTGTTCAGGTCCAGTTCTTTGCAGCTTGGCTTCTTTTTGTCTAAGAGGGACTTCCCTTCATGGTGGATTGTGATCAGGACATGTAAACTGAAATAAATACTTTCTTCCCCAAGTTGGTTTTTCTTATGGCATTTAATCACAGTAATAGGAACCCTAACTATGATACTGAGCTTGGGCAAGTCATCAGAATTATCCAAATGTTTCTAGTAGTTTATGACTTCCAGCAGTATCTATATGTTGAACTCAATTATATTTCTCTGTATATGCTTGCTTCTCTAGATTTAGGATGCCAGTTTTTCTGAGACTTTAGTTGTCTGTTAGGACCAAGAAAGTTAATTCCTTCCTTCTGTGTGATTTCAGCAAGTTCCCAAGGTCACTAAGCCAGCCAGCCTGCCTGCCTGCCTGCCTGCCTGCCTGCCTGCCTGCCTGCCTGCCTGCCTGCCTGCCTGCCTCCCTCCCTCCCTCCCTCCCTCCCTCCCTCCCTCCCTCCCTCCCTCCCTCCCTCCCTCCCTCCGTCCCTTCTCTCCCTCCCTCCCTCCCTTCCTGACAGGGTCTTACTATGTAGCCTTGGTGGATTTGGAACTCATTACATAGACCTAGCTAGCCTCAAAGTTATAGAGCTCTGTCTGCCTCTGTCTCCCAAATGTTGGGATTAAAGGCACGCACCACCATGGCTGTATTTAATTTTTGATAAATTAAATTTCTTTGTTGGAAGGACAGTGGGTCAGTGTCATGCTGCATGTATCTCAGAATTAGAACCTAAAGTATGATTAAGATATACTTAGTTGGTTTTAAATTTTAGTTCATATTAATAGTGCTTAGTGAATGTTTCATATAGGTCTTATTCTTGAGATGTATACCAGGGCAACTGGGCTTTCTCTTGTTTCAAGGTTGTATGTTTGTAGCTATTATCTTTCCCTAGTTACAAAACTGTTTTATCTATTTCTAAAACACATACCCATAAACTTTTTTTTTCTGTGAACATGGCTGTTTGTGTGATTTTTTTTGTATTGTTTTAGAGTAGTCTAAATTTTGTAGTAAATTATTAAGAAAGCTAAAATGATGTGCTTTCTCTTGGTTCATTGCTGTAGTTTTCGCAGTTCTGTAATATATTTGAAGAAATTTTATTTTTCAGTAGGTTCCAGGAAGAAGGTGCATTTTGGTAGCATACATGATGCGGTACGGGCTGGAGATGTCAAGCAGCTTTCAGACATAGTGGACCGTGGAGCCAGTCTTAATGAAGCTGATGTTCTCCATCAGTTTACTCCTTTACACTGGGCAGCACATTCTGGAAGTTTGGAGGTAAGAGTCTATAACTACTGTTAAACTAAAATGAATTGACAATGATAGTTTTATAAATGTAGTACAGGGATGACACCTCATGCTTGACTCTCTGAAATAATCTTCGTTTCAGTTCAGTCTGTTATCTGGGTGCTCTTTAGTAAGGCTTCCTAACAAATTATCCCTTTTTTTTTTTGGTTTTTCGAGACAGGGTTTCTCTGTGGCTTTGGAGGCTGTCCTGGAACTAGCTCTTATAGACCAGGCTGGTCTCGAACTCACAGAGATCCGCCTGCCTCTGCGTCCCGAGTGCTGGGATTAAAGGTGTGTGCCACCAACGCCCGGCAAATTATCCCATTTTTAATGCTCATGAGTGAACTAAGAAGTTGAATTGTAGTGACAGCTTGTCTTTGCTCCACAATAACTGGAGTTTTAGTTAGAAGACTTGAAGACTACAACTGGGGATATAGCTCAATGGTAGAGTACCTGTCCTGTGTACCTGAGACCCTATGTTCAATCTCAAGTACTGAACTATTGTGCTGATGTTGGGAGAAGCCTGTTCCTTGCCAGCTGCTTTGGTTTTTCCCCACCAGTCACCTGGGCTCTGCCACGTTGTAGTCCCCAAATAACACACAAGATGCTGTATTAATTATGAAGCTGTTGGCCGTTTGCTTGTTTCTTACTGGCTATCTTTGACTTAAGTATTTAACTCATCTAAGTTTACACCTGTTAGTGTTAGTTTTCACTTATTTTAGGGTTGGGATTGGAAGGAGGTGTTCAGACTTGGGCATCCCTTTCAGATAAGTTTAGGATTTAGGTGGAATGGATATGTTTAGCTTAGGATATAAGTAGATTATAACTTACTTATCACCCTTTATGTATATATGTTGTATATGTTTGAGTTTGTATCAAATTTAAATCTTCTATTTAAACTAAAAGGGGAACTGTAGGAGTGAACCCCACAAAGTTATCTGCTCATGAGGGCGGGGACAAGTAAATTAGCACAGGTAGAGATAAAAGGAAGTTAAAGGAAAAAGGACCTCCTCTTTTGGAAGCTGGCCACGCTTCTGATTCCCAGCTTGTGTGATTCTCTCTCTCTGGTAAATAAATATATTGTATTCCCTATTGCATTGACTATCATCAATATGCTGAGGCTGGACTCTCCTGAAGCTTCATTCACTCAGATATCTAATGGTTAATGCTGGCTAGAGGCTGAGTACTTTAAGTAGATGACAGTGAACCCATGCTCAAGTTTTGCATAAAATTTAAAGTCCCAAAGTGTTATGCATTTTTTTTCTCTTTTTACTCTTTTGGCTTTTGGGGGGCCCACCACCCAGTTCCCAAATAAATCACACGGAGTCTTATCATTACTTATAAATGCCTGGCCTTAGCTTGGCTTGTTTCTTGCAAGCTTTTCTCAACGTAAGTTAACTCATCTATCTTTTGCTTCTGGGCTTTTCCTTTTCTATTCCTGTATACCTTTCTTTCCTTCTTATTCCGTGTCTTGCTGTGTAGCTGGGTGGCTGACCCCTGATGTCCTCTCCATTTTCTCTTGCTTTTCCTCCTCCCTCGTTTCTCCTTCTATTTATTCTCTCTGCCTGCCAGCCTATCCTATCCTTGCTCCTGCCTCTCTATTGGCCATTTAACTCTTTATTAGGACCACCAGGTTTTTTAGATAGGCACAGTAACTCAGCTACACAGTTAAACAAATGCAGCATAAACAAAAGTCATACACCTTAAAATATATTCTACCACACCAAAGAACACTTCTTAGGAGAGAGAATGTTCCTCTCCAGAAAGTTAAATATGCAGGTTTGGTATTTATTAGACTCATTAATGTTTTAAGCAGTTCTTGTATATCATTATGTAATTCTTTTGAGTGCTATACAGATAGCACATTCTATGTCTATCATCCTTCATTTTGTTCTAACAATTTGCTTTTGAGTTTAAGTCATATGGTTTCATATATATACTCTACTTCATTTGTTTCAGTATTATGGTAATGGTTTATTCTTAGAATAATGGAATTTACTAATTTTCCATGATTCTTAGTTGGTTTCAATTTTTAGCTTGTACAAAAATGCTTAGTGATTTTTTTTTTCCGAGACAGGGTTTCTCTGTGGCTTTGGAGCCCGTCCTGGAACTGACTCTGAAGACCAGGCTAGTCTCGAACTCACAGAGATCCACCTGCCTCTGCCTCCTGAGTACTGGGATTAAAGGCGTGCACCACCAACGCCAGGCACTTAGTGAATATTTTATACAGATCTTATTCTTGGAATATATACACGGGCAACTGGAATTTCTCATGTTTCAAGGTTGTATGCTTACATTAGCTATTATCTTTCACTGTCTATAGGCTATAGTAGGTCTAGTCACAAAACTGTCTTATCTATCTCTAATGCATATACACTTTTTTATAGAACACATATATACTCTTTTCTGTGAACATAACTGTTGGTATGATTTGTTCTTTGTTTTAGATTACTCTGCTTCATGTAAACACATCTGAATCACATAACCTCCCTGAGTCAGTGTGGGCCTCAGTTACCAGGAATTTTCACTTTGGTGTGTCAGTGGATCCCTCTCACAAGAGAGAAATGTACCTTGATTATTCTCTGTGAGCTTGTAACTGTAGGTGGGTGGTGGTCTCTGTTGTTCCCTTCTGCATCTTGATTGATCTGCATTATGGCAGAGTTTTCATTTGTTTAATGTTTGAGTTCTAGATAGTTCATCAAAATTGGAATTTGATTTTCTTTCCTTCTGCCTCCCTCCCTCCCCTCCCCTCCCTCCCCTCCCTCCCTCCTTCCCTCCCTCTCCTCCCTCCTCCTTCTTTCCTTCCTGTTTTTTGGGGTTTTTTTTGGCTGATTTTAGAAAGAAGCAAAAAAAATCTATTCTGCCATATTCAAATAGGATACACTGCATTATTAGTCTCTTTCCTGGTCCCTGAAGGGACTTGTATCAGCTCAAGATACCCTGAGATCAAGATCTCAGCACAAATATTTATTTGCCCCAGAGGGACAGAGGGTAGGGAATAAGAGACAAAGACAGGAGATAGAGCATGAGGGACAAGGGGAAGGGAACAGGGGAGAGCAGGGAGAGATATTTGTCCCTAGGGACAAAGGCCTGCCTCTGAATAGAGGAAACAGATGTGACCCATAGACAAATGACAGTTTGTAAAGTTAAAGGGGCAATCGTGTGTTAGGATGAGGTGTTTAATTTTGATTGGGCATGTTAGGGCAGTCAAAGGGGTTTTGATTTCTGGACTTTAATACTTTGATAGCTGGATCTTGGTAGTCAGCCTCAGGAAGAAGTGGTCAGCCAACTAAGGGAATAGACAGACCTTGGTTGCTAGCTTTAGGAATGTAATCTAACAGTTTTTAGCAAGGCAGAGAGGGGATGGGGGAGAAGTGCAAGGCCTGCCAGAGTCATGTTTGCCATGCTCTGGCTGGCTAGTGTCCCTTCAATACCCATTCAGCTTCAGCAATTACTTTCATGTAATCATTTTTTTCAGTCTCCATAGAGACTATCAAAAATTGCCAGTGCAGACTATTTCAAATCATCATGGCAGGGTATTGGGAAAAGTTTTCAATTAGCAATAATCTTTCCTCGGATAACCTCATTGGCTATGATACTGCCACTGTGCAAAGTATCTTTAAAGCTTTTTAAAAATATTTTATTTAATTATGTTTTAGTCAGGGTTTCTCCGTGTAGCCCTGGCTTGCCTAGAACTTCCTATGTAGACCAAGTTGGCCTCAGACTCAGATATCTACCTACCTTTGCTTCCTGAGTGCTGGGATTTAAGGGTTAAAGTTATTGCTTCAGACTTTCTGATGTTGGATTTCCCAAATTGTTGGTCACTGAGGTTGGAATTTTTGTCTACAATATGCCTGAACCTAGTGTTCATCTTGTTCACCTCCAAATAAAATGTCCCTCTGGTAGGAAAATGGAGCTATATAACCAAGTAGATCTGTACTACGAAGCTAGGGATGGGGAAGGCTAAAGTCCCCAGCTAAAAACAGAAGCTCTTTCTTTACTGAGATTTTCTTTGTTTCCTTCAAAATATGTTTCTATTTATGTGTATGTATGCATGTGTGTGATAATGTGCACATGTGCACATGTGCCTGAGGAGACCAGCCGAGGATGTCAGATCTCCGGGAGCTGGAGCTAGAGTTCTAGGCAGTTGTGAGCCACCTGGCATGGGTACTGAGAACTGAACTTAGGTCCTCTGAAAGAACAGCAGTTGAGCCTAGTGAGAGGTTCAACATCATTAGCCATTAGAGAAATGCAAATTAAAATTACAGTGAGAAGCTACATCTTTCTAGCTCTAGAAAAGAAAAACAAAAAAGTAATAGTTATTGCAAATTGTCATCTCTTGATGAAACTAGCTCATGGATTGGTTTTGTTTGTCATGCACAATATTAGCCAAGTGGTATATTTATTGAACTAGCATTTATTTCACTCACAGCAAGAAATGCCTATAATCTAGTATCAAGTGTACCTGATAGACAAGGAATGTTGCTTCCATTTTGCTATAGTTTCTATTTCTTTTTCTTACTGGACAGTGAAGCCAAATGTTTTTTGTTTTTGTTTTCTTTTTAAATTTAAATTAGAAACAAGCTTGCTTCACATGTTAATCCCAGCTCCCTCTCCTTCCCCTCCTCCCCCACCCCTCCAGCTTCCCATGCAATCCCCAATTCATTCCCCAGGGAGGGTGAGGCCCTCCATGGGGGATCTCCAGAGTCTGTCATTTCATTCAGGGCAGGGCCTAGGCTCTCCCCCAAGAGTTCAGGCTGAGAGAGCATCCTTCTTTGTAGGATGGGCTCCCAAAGTCCATTTGTATGCCAGGGATAAATACTGATCTACTTCCCAAGGCCCCATAGATTGCCTAGGCCTCCCTCACTGACACCTACATTCAGGGGGTCTGGAGCAGTTCCATGCTGGCCTCTCAGCCATCAGTATGGGGTTCAAAAGCTCCCCCTTGTTCAGGCCAGCTGTTTCTGTGGGTTTCACCAGCCCAGTCTTGACCTCCTTTGAAGCCAAATGTTTATTGCTATGCCACTGTGTTTGTGCCTTTGATTTTCTTACACGGGATTACTCTTATCTATTTTTTTTCATGTTACCGTAGGCATCTCATGATAACAGACTAAATTTAAAAGTTATAGAAATACAGAATATGTCTAATATACCACCCATTAATGTTATTATTCTCCTAGTGTCTTCACTGGCTACTCTGGCATGGCGCTGATACCACACAGGGAACTACAAGAGGATGGACAGCGGCTCACATAGCTGCAATTCGGGGTCAAGATGCCTGTATGCAGGTAATGCTTTTGATGATTGTTTTTTCTTTTCAGTTCAGTGAGTTCAGTTACTTTATCACAGCTCTGTTGGAATTCTGCCATTTATTTGGTGCAACACAAGCTGTAAAGAAGGAATGACTGATACCAGCTAGCCACATAAATGACATGTGACTAGAGATTTTATAGTCTCCGAAGGAGTTGGGTTTTCTTCAGTGATGTCACAGTCATGCCCAGAGTGTCGTCTTTGTAGTTTGCTCCTATGGTACAGATGATTGTATTGTGCCAATGTAAGTCTGTTCAAATCTTAGTTCTTAAAGTGATGGGTGTTAACTTGAGCAGGTAGGCAGTAAGAGGAAAGAGAAAATACATTAGTAACTTCTGGGGAAATTGGGTCAAGTGGAGCTTTACCTGATGTGTATCTTCCAACAAGCATTAGCTCAAGCCATTCCTTGCACCCTTCTCTGCCCCACACTAGTCTCTTCCTTCTTAGGGTTTTTATGCGGCGTACATTGGTTCTATGCTGCATGCTCGCTCCTCATCAAAGTCTTGTGTAGTTGATTAGCTGTCCCTAAGAACGTCCTGATTCTCTAGGTAGATAAGTTTTATTATTATTGTTATTATGATCCTTAAAACACAGTAAGTACTCACTATGTCATTTATGACTGTTATTGGCTGGTTAGATTGGACAAGGTCATGATGATTATTCTTTTTAAAGCCCTTGGTAGGAATTAAGACTGAGTAATCCTTTGCTAAGGTACTGGTAAATGAAGACTAACTAAAAAAGGAAATGCTGAGTGAGAAAGAAATAATTAAGAAATATTGACTAGCAGGGAGTTGGGGTTGTAGCCCCATGACAACATTCAGGGGTAGTATGGTCAAGGCTCTGGACCCAATCCTCAGTGCCAAAAAAGAAAAAGGTACTAAAAGTTCATTTGTAAAAATAGATTTTAATTTTAAAAAAATTTAAAAAACTATTTTGTCTTATGTGCATTGGTGTTTTGCTATCAGTGTCGGGTCTCCTGGAACTGGAGTTACAGGCAGTTATGAACTAACATATGGGTGCTGGGACTTGAACCCAGGTCCTCTGGAAGAGCAGTCAGTGCTCTTAACTGCTGAGCCTTCTTTCCAGTCCCATAGCTTTTAATTTTTGGAGCTGTTGTACGTTCAGGAAAATTGAGCAGAAGGTATACAGATTTCGAATTGTTAGATTGATTTCCCAGCCAGTGACTTTCCAGTGGCACAGCATAATCACCTGTACCCATAGTTTACATTGGGGTTCACTCTTGGTATTCTACAGACTGCATTCAAACAGATCTGCATCCACACAGTGCTTGGCTTATTTGTTTATTTTAATGATAATATCTTGATGTGTAAGATAGGCCGGGCTTGAATTTATGAGTCTTCTGCCTCAGCCTCCCAAGTTCTAGGAATACATATATATATTACATCCTGACTGTATTCCCCCACTCCCCTCCCTTTCCCTAGATCCACCCTCCATCTCCCCTCAGACAAGAGCTGGCCTCCCAGGGACATCAACCAAACATGGCATAACAAGCTACAGTAAGACCAGGCACATTCCATCAAATCAAGGCTGGACAAGGTAACCCAGTAGGAGGAAAAGGGTCCCATAATTAGGCAAAAGAGTCAGAGACAGCCCCTGCTCCCACTGTTAGGAACCCCACAAGAACACTGAGCTACTCAGCCATAATCTATATGCAGAGGACCTAGGTCAGACCCTTAAGGCTACTTGATTTCTTTGAGCCCGTATGAGTCCCAGCATTTGGGATCACTAATTTCTTTTAGTGCTCAGTATTTCATTGTCTGAATATTTGTTAGTGTTTACCCACTCAAGGGTATTTTCATTTTTTTCCAATCGTGGCGATATGAGTAAAGCTTATAAATATTCACTTTTAGATTTTCATAAGTTTCCAGTTTTATTAGGTATTTACATAAATACAAGGAGTGTATGATTGTTGGATTATGGTGAGGTTATGCTTAGCTTCATAAGAGACACTGCCCTACCATCTTCCAAAATACTCAGCCTTGGCCTCTCATCCTTGCCAGCTTTTGTGCTGTCAGTGTTCTGGACTGTGGCAATTCTAATAAATAGATAGGGACATTTTATTGTTGTTTAAATTTGTACTTCTCTGGTGGCCTTTGATGTAGAGAAGCTTTTCATATGGTTATCATCATTTGGTAATTTTTTGGTAGTATAGAAGACTGATCTCAGGACCTGCTGTAAGTTAAGAAGTTTACCACTGAGTTACATCTACAGCTCTGACCAATGTTAAAATTGAATTTTTTCTTATTGTTTAAGAATTTGTTTTGTGGGTTGGAAACATGGCTCAGAGGTTAAGAACACTGGCTGCTCTTCTGGAGGTCCTGAGTTCAAGTCCCAGCAACCACATGGTGGCTCACAACAATCTGTAATGAGATCTGGTGCCCTCTTCTGGCCTGCAGGCATACATGGAGTGCTCTATACATAATAAATAAACAAATAAAATCTTAAAAAAAGAGAATTTGTTTTGTGTTTTGAGTAATAGTCCTTTATTGAATATATTCTCTTTGTGCGAACTGTCTTTTTTATTCTATTTCCAGTGTCTTTTTAGGGTCAGGGTGTTTAATTTCAATGAAAGCCTAATTTTTCAGGTCTTTCTTTCATGGATTGTACATTAGGTATTGCATCTAAAGAACTGTAGCCCAGCCCTAGGTTTTTCCTGTAGGGGTATTATAGTTTTGTATTTTCTATGTGTGATCCATTTTACGTTAGTCCCTTCCTTCCTTCCTTTCCTTCCTTCCTTTTTTTTTTTTTTTTTGAAACACAGTCTCTCTACATAGCCCTAGCTGTCATGGAACTCACTATGTAGACCAGGCTTGTATCAAACTCACAGAGATCCTCCTGCTTCTGCCTCCGAAGTGCTGGGATTAAAGGTATGTGCCAGCATACTTTGCCAAGTTATTTTTTTTTCAATGTTTGTAAGGTTTGTGCTTAGTTCAGTATTTTTACATGTGAATACTCAATTATTTTGATACCTGTATGTTGAAAACACAATCTTTTGTTCATTATACTTACTATCTTTTCTCCTTTCTTCAGTTTCATTGCAATATCTGTTAGTTCTTTGGCCAATACCAGTTTGTCTTGATTTCTGAAATGAGTCTTGAAGTTGGGTCAGTCCTTCAACTTTGCTCTTCTCTTTTAACATTGTTATTCTGGGTCTTTTCTCTCTCTGTAAACTTTAAAAGCTGCTTGCTGATATCCAGAAAGCACATCACTGGGTTTTCATTAGGACTGATAGATTTGTGAAATTAATTCTTTGTCTGTTATACAGGAAGAAACCCTATAGTCAAT